TAGACCATTTGTCATCCATGCTGTCCCACAAATAGTTTTTTCTTTACAATTTATGACAGGTTTATGTTACTTCTATTTGAATGTCTGTATTTCCCACGTGGTTTTTATGTTTAATATTAGGGGAGTAGAGCCAGTTAACATTTAGGGAGTTATGTTTTCATCTTGAGGTGGTCAATATGAGAATGTGGAATTTTTATACAAGTTAAAAATGTTTGGCATAGTACTTTTGGTACATGTGGCTTCACAAGAGCCAGTGTTAAAATTGTTTCCATGTCTAAGCAAAGAAAACTGCCTACATATTGGTTTGTCCTGGTGGAGAATAAAAGAGATAATTGGTTCCAGTCACAGATATAGTTGTTGTGGGTACTTTAGTTTTGGGGTACTTAGAGGGCTGTAGTAGAAATGGATATTCCATGGACAGTACATGTTGAACCATGTGTGTATTTGTGGAATACTCAGTCTAAATGTGCACACCTTTGACTACAGCTGCAGAAGTGTTCCTTTAGTTGTGACCCAATTTACTCTGAATAAAGGCAGAAACGGTTCACATTCCATTATTTGTAGTTACCTGCTGTTTGCTTTCATTATTTTTGCTGCACTCATTTTATTTGTATGTAAATGTTTTAGGCAACCTAAGAACAAATGTACAAGTAAAGATGCAGTAAAATGAATTGCTTGATATTCATTACTTCATGTGTATCAAGCACAGCAGTAAAATAAAACAAATTTAAAAAAACATGTATTTAACTTTTTTTAGGTTTTTTTGCTTTTGTGATTTTTTTTTTATATTTGCCTAACATGCATGTACTGTAAAAATAGTTAAAAGGGAAATAACTTGAGATGATGGCTGGCTTTGTTTAAAGTCTTATGAAATTTTCATGAATAAGCATAATTGTTAAGAACATGTGTATTAGGTTCATGTAAATGAAATAAAACTTTTATGAATGGACTTTTCAACTACTTCTCTACAGCTTTTCATGTAAATTAGTGTTTTGGTTCTGAAATTTCTCTAAAGGAAATTGTACATTTTTGGAAATTTATTCCTTATTCCCTTGTTGACACGGTCTACTTGGTGACCGTGTACTTGGAAAAAGGGGCCACATGATCTATCTGGCTCCACTCAATGTCTAAGGATACCCTGCTTCCTTTGCTTGCATCCCACAAACTATTTCCCTCATTCTATTTACTGCAGCAAATCTCTCCTTAGTTGATGATATTGTTTTATCTCCTTGTAAAACTCTACCTATCCAGAATGGTCTGTCATTGGCTGCCTTTAAAATCATCTTCTTCCTCCTTCCTGTAAATAATGTGGCTAAGTTATACCCAAAGCTCACCCTACAGACTATTTCCTCAGTACCTTGCAAAAACCCAAACAAAAATACCATTCAAAAGAGGTGTATTTTTTTCTTTTAGAATGTAAACTCCTCAAGAGCGGGGACAATGTTTTCTTGTATGTTCTGTTGTGTCTAGTATACTGTAAATGCTCAATAAATATTGATGATGGGAAAAAAATAAAAATAAATTTTTAAAAAATATAGTCTTTTCAAAAACGATGCTGGGACAACTGGACAAGTAGTGAACTAGAAAATATGCCTGAAAGATACATCCAAGATATAGTAAAGAGAGATAAGAGGATGGAAAATATAAAAGAGCACATGGAAAATACAATGAGAAAAGGACTAACACACCTAATTAGAGTTTCAGAAGAAGAAAGTGGAGATAATGAAGAAAAGGCAATATTTAAAGAAATAATGGGTACAGATGTTCCAAAATTGAAAAATATGAATGCACAGCTCCATGATGTACAAGCATATCCAAAGAAGAATAAATGAAGTTTCATTCTGAAACTACAGAACAATATAAACAATGAAAATATCATGTGGGTAGTCCAAGAGAAGGGAGGAAACATCTACAAAGGAATGGCAAGGTCAGATAGACTTCCTAGCAACTACAATAAAAGCTAAAGGACAGTATAATAACTTATTTGAAATGTTGAGAGCAAGTCACTATCAACCTAGAATTGGGTGTCCAGCCAAATTATCATTCAAAAGGAATAGGAAAATAAAAACATTTGAAGAAAAACAAAACTGGTAACTTCTATCATCAAGAGACTTGCTCTAAAGGAACTTCTAAAAGATGTACTTTGAGGAAGAGAAAAAGAAACCAGAGGATGGTCTGGAATTCAAGATGGAATAGTGAGCAAGTAAAATGGTAGACACATATGTAAATTCAAAGAAATGGTCTGTTGTGTGTTGTGTATGGCATTAAATTGTGTATGGCAAATAATTGTGTGTTGTGTATGGCATTAAATTGTGTATGGCAAATAACTGTGTGTTGTGTATGGCATTAAAGAAGGCAGAACTGGAATATTATACAATAATAATTGAATCAGGAATCTCCTCGAATATATGTATTAATTACAGGAGGTAATGGTACCTGCAAAGTAGACGCCCGGTAGACATCACCTTTGCCAAATGATTAAAGTCAACATCACTTGTACATCATGTACTCTTGGATAAGGAGAACTGAGAAATGCCTATCACTTCTGTGGTATTCTTTAAAAAAAAAAAAAAAGCATAACCCCAGTCTAATCAGGAAAAAGCAGCAGACAAATCCAAATTGAGGGACATTCTTCAAAATGACTCATTAAAGGTATTGAGGTAAAAAAAGACAAGGAAAGACTCAGAAGCTGGCACAGATTGGAGGAAACTAGGGAGACATGACAACTAAATTTAATATGGGTCCCAGATTAGACCCTAGAACAGAAAAAAGATAGTGTAAAAAGATGGATTCCAAATAAGTCTGTGGTTTAGTTAGTAGCATTATATAATTTTAAATATTTTTGTTTTGATCTTTGTATTATGATTATTTAAAATGTTGATATTAGGGGAAGCTGGGTGAAGGGTACAGGGGAATTATCTTTATTATTCCAAACTTTCTATAATCTAAAATTATTTCAAAGTAAAATAAAAAGACCTCAGCTAAAATGTTGTGAAGTCTTTTTTATCTGAGATAGATGGAAGTTGTTCAGCTTTAAGATTTTGTTAGGCATGCTTGATAAGATTTGATAAATTATAAGTTATTAAAAGAATAAAAGTAGAGGGAATAAATTTGACTTTTAGAGAGAAAATCTTTAAATAAGGGAAAAACACAAAAGATGAAAAATAACAAAATTCAGTGAGAGTTTTAAAAAAGCAACAAAGGGGAAATCAGAATTTTAAAAAAATAAGGTAGAAATAAGTCCAAATATATTGATAATCAAAATAAAGATGAATGGACTAAATAACCAATTAAAACTCAGACTTGTAATAAACAAAACAAAACCTAAGTGCTATTTTTTCTTTTTTTTTTTACAGTCCTCACCCAAGGATATTTTTCCATCTGTCTTTAGATAGAGTGGGGGTGGGGGGAGATAGAGAGAGAGGAACATCGAGGTGAGAGAGACACATCCACTGGCTGCCTCCCAGACCCCGACCAGGGCCGGGGACTGAACCACAAGTGAAGTACGTGCCCTTAACGGGAATCAAACTGGAGATTCTTTGATCCGTGGGCCGACGCTCTAACCACTGAGCCAAACTGGCCAAGGCCTAAGTGCTATTTTTGAAAGATGACTCTAAAGCATAATATCACAGAAAAGTTGAAATGAAAAGGATGGCAGCCATGCACAGATGGACCTTGATTTATGACAAAGGTGGCACCACGTTCAGAGCGCTGGAGAAAGGATGGCTCTTGATTCTGAGTCAACTGGGAATTCATACGGAAATAAAAAGGTGTTTGACCCCTATCATGCCATCCACAAAATCATTTTAGATGGGCTATAGATTTAAATGTGAAAAGTAAAACAATAAGACTCCAAGTAGAAGACTCCAAGTAGAAGATACAGGAGGATGTCTTCATGACATCAAGATAGAAAATGAATTTTTGTTTTTATTTTTTTGGTATACTATCTGTATTCAGATCATTTCCTTTTTAAAAATTTCAATTATAGTTGACATGAGAATGAATTCTTTTTTTTTTATTTTTTTTTATCCTTACCCGAGGACATTTTTCCATTTTTTGCTCAGACAGAGTGGGAGGGAGAGAGAGGAAGAAAGAGAGAGAGAGAGAGAGAAACACTGACGTGAAAGGGACACATCGAGTGGCTGCCATCCACACGACCAACCAGGGCCAGGGACAAACTGCAACAGAGGTACACATCCTTAGCGGGAACCGAACCTGGGTCTCTCTGGACCGAAGGCTGATGCTCCAACCGTTGAGCCAAATTGGCCAGGGTGAGAATGAATTCTTAAGTGGACACAAAAGGCATTGTTTGTAATAATAACAGACTGGAAAAAAACATAAATATCCATAATTGAAGACATGAATACATTTTGTTACATCCATGTATAGATCTAACTTCAACAGAACCTTAACCAACACCAGGCTTGACTGGGGTTTAATCAATGCACTTTTAGATTTTGCTTTAAGTTGGTGTTGAAGGTTATTAAAGTAATCTGTGTCCAAATGATCTCCACTCGAAGTTTCTCAAAATGTATGGCTTATGGCTTTAACTATAATTTTAACCATGGCTTTTTCAAAATATTTGGATTTATAATTTTCTATTTCCACAGTGTGTTTTGTCATATTTTAATTTTATGTTTTTTGTTTTTAGTACCTTAAGAAATTGTTCTGTATTTACCTCTGTGCCGTCAGGCTCCCACAGGAAAGACATGATCCACTCACATTGAGTTATAGGGAAAGTTTAACAAAGAGCTTATTTACAAAGGTGTGGGTAGAGTGGAGGGAAACCACAGAGGGTAGTGTTGTATCCCAGGGCTAGTAACAGTGAGCCCCATTGTTGATCCCATGCCTGAAGGGGAGAAAGAGACAGTGTAATGTAGACAAAGGCCACCTGACTAGAGCTGGGCCATCAGGTGGAAAAACATAGTCATTCTGCAGCAATGCCACAGCAAGAGAGCCAAGGGAATAAATCCCCAACCTCACTCTCACTTATTCCTTACCTTCTGCTGCAGATCCCCATTGGCTGGACAAATGGAAGCCAGAGAGCATGAGACACACTTGATGCAGTCCATACAGTTTAGCCCCCTGGAGTCCAAAGCAAAATCAGAGGGTGGAGATTACAAAAATAGGTATAAATTTTTTGCATCTCTGTATATGCCCTTGAATCTGTATATACTCTACCTCTTGAATCTCAGGTTGGCCATGTGACTTACTTTGGCCAAAAAGGCATTAGCAAACATCATTAGCAGAGTTTTGAGAAACACTTAAGACACTGGAGCTTATAAAACTGCCACAGTTTCTGAGACACCCTACTCTATATGCTATGTGAAGAAGTCTGAGCTAGCCTACTGAATAACGAGAGACATTCGCCTAGTTCCTTCAGCCTTTAGCCAGGCATCACTCAGAAGCAGAATGATCTAGCTGCCTGGCAACTGATAACAGATGCATGGGTAAGCCCAGCAAGACTATCAGAACTGCCTAGCTGAGCCAACCCCAAATGATTAACCCACAGAATTGTGAGTTGAATTGTTATGCAGCAGAGACAAATTGATATAAGGGGCAAAGGGAAGATATTCAGCACAAATTTTAAAAATTTTATGCTTTGCTTTTCACAGTTCTTTAATTTATACAAAAATTATTTTGTGTGTGCTATAAAATAGGGATCTAATTTAATTTTCTCTTATATGTCTAGTCAATTATCTCTGACAATTTATTGAATAGTAAATCCTTTCCTTCATTGATTTCTAATGCTGACTCAATAATACATCATATATGTGTGGAGCTGTTTCTGGACTTTCAATTCTATTCCTTTTATCTATCTAAGTTTGCATCACTACCATGTTGCAATCTTGATATCTGGTAGAGAAAGTCCCCTCACCTTATCCTTTTTCTTCAAAACTATGGTGGTTATTCTCAGTCCTCTACACAGCTAGATCAAGTTCAGGATCAGTGTGTTAAGTTCCACAAACACACTTATATTTCAAAAGAATTGAATTGTTTGTAAATTAATTTGGAAAAGGAATGATATATTTATGATATCAAGTCTTCCTATTTAATAGCATGGTATATCTCTGTTGCTATTGGGAATATCTATGTTCTCTGTCTTTCTCTAGTTTAACAAATATTTGGTATATTGGAACACTACTAATTTTTGTATGTTGATCTTATATCCAGCAATCTGGGCTCTGTCACTAGTTCTCATAACTTTATACATTTTTAGATTTTTCTATAAGGACAGTATTATAAATATTGGCAGTTTTGTTTCTTCTTATCAAATCCTCTGATTATTGTCTTACTGCATTTGTTAAGCCCTTCAGTCCAATATGGAATAGGCAGAATAATAGTATCTCTCTTTGTCTTATTTCTTTAATCTGCTAATGTAGTATATTACCTTAAAATTTTTCATTAGTTATTTTTTATCCTCACCTGAGTACACTTTTGCATTTATCCTCAGATAGAGCAGGAGGGAGAGAAGGGCAAAAAGTGAGAATCATCGATGCGCGAGAGATACATCGACTGGCCGCCACCCACATGATCCCAACTGGGGCTGGGGACAAACTGCAACCGAGGTATATGCCCTTAGCGGGAACTGAACCCAGGACTCTCTGGTCCACGGTCCAACGCTCTAACCACTGAGCAAAACTGGCCAGGGCTAAATTTTCATTATTGAATATTGGCATTTCTTGGATAAATCAAACTTGGTCATGATATATTAATTTTTAATTCACTTCTAAATTACTCAGAATTTTATGCCCATAGTGATTAGTAATTTTGCTTATATTTTTCCTTTTCTGTACTGTTCTTGTCCAGTTTTGCCATCAACATTATACACTCATGAATTGGGTAATTTATCCTAACTATCTATAAGGTAATCTGTTCCCTGAAGGTTCTGTAAAGTTTGATTTTTCAAATCTTATTAATTTGATATAATGGTTTCTGGTTTGTCCAAGTTTTCTTTTGATTCTTGAGACGTGTGGGGAAGTAACTGTTTTCCCCTGGCTCCATGTTTCTATATGGAGGAAACTCTATTTGTGTAATGCCCTTGGCCTTGAGCCTCATCTTCACAGTATCTCCTCTGCAGAAACTTAGCTGACTGATGATCTCAACTCCTTCTACACCCTTTCCATTGGGTCTTCCTGCCTGCAAGATTTGTGTTCTAATGAGTTGTCTTCCACAGAGATTTGCATACCTGCTGAAGGAGCAAAGGCTGTTCATCTGTGTGATGACAAAGTAATTATGTAGAGTTCAAGAGTGGATGATTACAGGTCCACTTAGCTGCAGACCAAAGCTACTTTCTCTAAACAGTTTTGATCAGTAATAAATGTGATATTCTGACCCCTTTTTGCTTGGTTATACTTAATGATAAAGAATTTGGGAGGGGAAGAAAGAGTGTTATTCTTTGCCCATTTCTCAAATTACAACATCTGGTACATTGACTGAATACTTTGAAAAAATAAATACAACTGGGAAAGTAAGGCTCTGGGGTGGCACAAGTATCCATGGCTTATGACCTTAGAGTTTTGACCCTGGCATTTTGTAGCAGCCCAGATTATGAATTTGGTTTTTGTGAGAATGGTGTCTTCAGGTGGCTTTAGTTCTTGGGCTTTAGTAAGCATGGCATACATAGAATTGTGATATTGATTGTCCCCCGGTATTTGGTTGTTTTTCTGAAAAAGCATTGTTTTGGTTTTATTTTTATAGTGGTAAATATATATAAAATGTATGATGTTAATTATTTTAAGTATAAAATTAGTAGTATTAAATACATTCACATTGTTTAACAAAAGGTGTGTGTGTGTGTGTGTGTGTGTGTGTGTATGTGTGTGTTTAATGGCAAACTTATTAAACAAGCTGCTCTGGTCTCCATGTGTAGATGCCTACAGACTGACCATGAATGCTACACCCAACTTGGATTGGTGTTCTAGGAGAAACTGAGAGGGAGATGAAATCTCCTGTTCCATTGACCCAAATTAGGTCATGTGCTCAACCCGGAACTAATGACTGTTTTTTTGGAACATTCCTAGAACCAGGGTGGCATATGCCTCTCCCAAATCACAGGGAAGACAGATAGATTAGATAAATAGATGGTTAGGTAGGTAGATGATAGATAGATGATAGATAGATAGATAGATAGATAGATAGATAGATAGATAGATAGATATTGGGGAGATAGAGCAACCCAAAACTAGAACAGACGCTGGAGAAGCAAGTATGATGTCCCCTGTAGCCACTTCTTAGAGACAACCAAGGTGAATATCATACACATACTTTTTTATACAAAATTGAAACCTTACTATCTATGCAACATTATTATCCAATACAGTAGCTACTAGTCACCCATGACTGTTTCAATTAAATTACAATTTAGCTCAATGACAGTAGCCACGTTTCAAGTGCTCAACAGCCACACATAGCTGGTAACTACCTTATTGAACAGTGCAGATATTGAACATTTCCATCATCACAGAATATACATAGGAATTAACAGGTGATTTGAAATCAAATATTTGAAAAGCTTATCTTTCATGCCTGCAGTGTATTCCATTGAAGGATTTGCCAACAATTATTTAACCATTTACATGTGAACATGTTTAAGGCTGATCCGCACAGCTAATTAACATTACAAAAATGTACACAAGGAAACATTTCTCCTCTTATCCTCACAAGCACTGAGGATCTCATTTAAAAGCAAATAGTGCCAACTCGACAGACAAAAATAGACCCCAACTCTGTTTTGTAAATATTAGTAAAGATGAACAATGACCCAGTGGGATTTGTTACATCTGAAAGACATGGACATTCTGCGAGCCACAGGACCTTTTTATACCGTGCAGCAGCATCAACAAATTGTTTCCTCCGGCGTGTAAGAAGACCCCTCAACAAAGCCTAAAGCAACCTGGGACAGGATGCACACACGGGAGAGGTGGGTTTCCCCGGGGCATGCAAAAGAGGGAGGACGTGAAGAGCTACAGGTGATGAGGGGATATGGGAGGAGAAAACCTGGGTTTGATTTGGAAGGTCGCTGAAGTAAGTCACAGTCATCTGGAACTTCCCGCAGCTCGCAGCAGAGCATCTGGCGATGGCGGCCGCCTGCTGCCCGGCACCGCAGCGGCCCTGGGCCCGCGGCCAGCGTCAGGGCGTCTGGCCTGGGCCGCGCCCCTGCGCGTTTGTGAGCTGGCCCCGGGTCACACTAGAACCCCGGGGGCAGGCAGGGCCTCCATTCGATTCCCCAGCAGGGACGCGCGCCGGCCGCCGTGGGCAGGGTGGAGAACACGCACCTGGGTGCTTGGCTTGCGCATGGGAATCTCCCGGGGAGTCTGCGGTTCTGACTTAACTGGTCGGGGATGAGTCGGGCATCTGATTCTAAAGAGCAGCCGGCACAGCCAGCCTCTGGCCTGGGCACTGGACCTCGGAGGTGCCCACTACGCTAATCAAAATGAGCACGGCCTCGTGGAGAGTGGCGCTGCGGGGCGCTTCTACCGAGTTTTGTTTCCCTGACTGCGTGTGAACAGCAGGCGATCCAGGCACGGTGAAAATGCCACTTAGAGACGTGAGGGACCCAACTTGTCACTGTCCGACCTAACCGCCTCAGGGAGTCCGGCCTCTTTTTGTCTCGGTTACCCCCAGGCCATTCTCCATTCTTCAGGCCAGGCCGTGCACCCACATCATGAACCAACCTGAAGGCCAGCAACCGGAGCCCAAGAATAACCAAGCACACTTGTCTGGGGGAAGTGGTGATTGCGCCATTGTTTACAGGGATCCCCGAGACCACGCGGATTTGGAGATTTGGAGTCGGGTCTGCCTTTCCATTATCAGGAAGAGTACTGGGAGCGAGCGAGGGCAAGAGAGGCGGCTGAACTTTGAGAAAGTTCCTCCGGTGGCTGTCAACCTCCCTTCTCCCATCATCTAAATAGAAGGACAAGTCAAGTTACAAGACTAGTGTAGTCCTAATTTAATATAACCGAAACACTGTATTTATCAGAAAAACAGGAAGTGTTTGTAGACTATGAGGATGTAATTGAAGAACCGGATATATAGAGCTTTTAGAAAAAGGAAATAGAAAACTTAAAAAGGATCTTGCTTGGTTTACCAATATCCAAAATATAACAAAACTGAATAAACCAGTGAGTTTTTACCATGAGTGAAATATACTGAAATTGACACTTGAATTCATTTATATCTTTTGAATAACTACTATTTCAAAGTTCTGTTTAAAATGTCCTTAGAGTGCTGGTTTAAC